ACAAATGCATATAAACGATAGCGTAAGATGTAAGCGATATAAAAGTCACAAAAAGATGGCAGAAATTGAGATATTCAAACGAAACACGGTGGACTGGGTCGAAAAAGGACTGATTTTGGTGTTCTAATCGAAAGTTATAGCTTTAAACAGTAGTTGTGAAGTTTGTTTCTACAAATAAAAGCTTCACACTGATATCTATCATCTGACAAAAATTGGTTGATTAAGCTTGATGAATAGTGGAGTTCTATGGATTTACTTTCCTTCCAGACTTCTGGGACACCCCGTATATATATAGATATATGGGCGAATTTCGCTGGTATTATACGGTTTGAAGAAAAAAAATCAAAAAAATAAGAAAAGTGAACAGAAAAAGAATTTGGCCTATGCATTCGATAGAGCTTTATTCGTTGTGTATAAGTCAAATATTTTCCCGACTGTGAGGTCCTCGGTTTAGGAAAAAAGTCGAGATCTCAAATTACATGAACTGTTCGAGATTTCTTGCCACAATAAAAATTCTAAATGAAAATGTTTTACATTGTTATCATATATCAGTCGAATCATCTTCAAAAGCAATCAATCAAATAGGCAAATAGATAACTCAATTCGCAAATACGCCTGCATGTGGAATAGTATAATCCGATCGCTATCATTGAAAATGCATATTCTTGTCTTTTGAGAAACGCGCTGTATTTGTAAGTTTTTTTTAACCCGTATCCATATTTATTCCGCAAAAATAAAGGAGGGTTACCATGAAGAAATACTTAAATAAACCGTTACTGACGTTTTATATGTAAAGCATGTAAAGCTTTTCATTCGGATTAAAAATATCTTTAGGTCTATACATGATCAGGACCTGCTTTCACGAAAAATTCAAGTTTCTTATAAGATATAGAGGTTTTGGATGATAGTAAATGAGAAAAAGGCAGACCTATCGGTCATTTTGGATATTGAGAGTCCCTACTAAAGATCTATAAACGTTTTTCAGTCAAGAGAAATCAAAGCAGACTAAGGCAGCTTGTATTTTCTCTAAATTATCTACCATTTTAATCTGTCGCGACTTTTTAATAGAAAAAAAATTTGTTGTGACAGTTTTTGAGTAAAATAGCGTTTTCTGGCGAACAGTTCTTTGTTAGGAGTTGAAACTTATATCATGGATTTGACACATAACTAGTTAAAAATGATAAAAAATTCATCAGCTAATCTCTTACTGTTAGCGAGAAATCAAAGAACCAAAATAAAATATCGGTCGCAACGTTTAGTGCGTCAATATGTACCTGTCCGTTTTATTTTTAGATTTTTGTTTGATCCTGAAAAATCTTGAGAATTTCTTTTTTGTCAAAATATTCTTTGCTCTTTAATCTATCAAACAGAAAAAAAGAAATTTCAGTCCGCTTTTAATAGACTTAAGTAGCCTCGATTTAATCTGTCGTGACATAAAACGGTCAAAGTGTACGTTTAGATATGTTTGCAGTATTTGATCAAGAAATCGAAATTAAAGTTCTGATCAATTTATAGTGTCAGAAAGATCAGTCTTACCGATCAACTGTTATAACAAATTTCTTTTATCCAATCAGAATTATAGTATAAAAGGAAATTTCTATCGATAGGTACCACCCAATAGCATTTGTTCTCACCTTTCGTGTTTGAAAAGTCCTTAACTACAGGAACAAAAAACTTTATAATTTTACGCTAAGTAGGACGAACTGAATGGAGTATCTGAAGAAAAAAAAATTCGAAATCGGTTGAGTAGAAGTTGAGATATAAGACTTTTCGTATTCGCCGAGCAACTGTACAATAACAGCGAAATTCACCCATATTTCATAATGCATTAGCTTTTAGCTTGAAAAAGTTTGGTATATAAGACAAGAAATATTTATCTCTACTGGAGATATGCGGAATCGGGACCAAAAAAACTTGGTCCCACACATCTCATCTCTTGAAATAAAAATACACCAAATGTACCAATTATAGAGTCATGGCAACTGTGAAAAGGAGCTATCAAGACCGTTAGCACTCGAAAAAAGCTACCGGTACCGAGAGCAGGAGCATCCTAGATTTACTGTGACTACGATCAAGACCGCTGAAAAAGAGACTGCCGGGACTCGACCGGGACCCGGACCAAAAACATTGGTCCTACACATCTCTATCGTCGACTAAAGAAATCAAGGATGTGGGTGTGGGGTCACAGACCGTGATCAGGTCAGGGCACCCCTGGTTCCCTTTCCTGCCCCGCCCTCTCCTGTTCTGTCCTACAGGACCAAGCTTCTGTTTTTGCCCTGCCCTGCTTGCCCTGGTAAATTATGTCCTAATTCTCAACTCATGTACTTTCTAGAGAAATTTTCCAATCTTTTGTACAGTTACGTGAGACTTCGCCGTAAGCTAACCACGTTTCTATTTGATGAATTATACGTGTTAGCGATCATTTTTGCCATTCATTACCGATTATCATTTGTGCTTATTGTTTCAATTAATATAGTCATCGTTATTCATTGTATATCTATTAAAATTGACTGATTGATACTATATTTTTGACTGAGTATGATATTACAGTATCTTGTAACATGTCTTTTGAAATGATTTAAATTAAGTATCAATAGTGAAAACAAGAATGATCTTTGAAGCATCCTCCGGTTATATAATCTGTTTTCGGATATAGAATAATATGCGATGCAAAAGTCTTTGGAAAAATGTCCAACCTTACTAGACCATATTTCCAACTCCTTAACTAATCAAACTGTCTTGTTGTAAAGACTGATGGCTGAACTACGAATTGTATAGCAGGCATATTTATTCAATACGAATCTGAGAAATAGAAAAAGTCAAAAACTAAGCATCGTTAAAAACGTTCCTGCAACACCTTTTCAGCTTGAAAAATTCAGCATTTCTTAATTACTTTGAGCTATATTGGTCAAAATTGAATAAGTAATCAACCAAAATGTAGCTCATCAAAAACTCAATTGATGAATCAGCTTTGAGTGTTTTTCTTGATCAATTCTTGACTCTTTAATTGAAGTTTGAGACAGAACATTTTTAGAAAAGTGAATCATTCGCAATAACCATCAGTTTACAAAAATATCAGCCACTATCTCCAGAAAGCATGCGTGAACTATACTGTTTTTTGCATTTTTTAGGTCTAATCATATTGAGGCATGGAACTTCAAGAGGAAAAACGTAACTAAACAAATATTTTTTATCGTAATAAAATGGTTAAGTAGCGAGAACAACCAAAAATACTTAGCCTCGTCGAGGAAAATTAATTTTCGATAAAACGATCAAGAATAATTTACCTTCCAACACACCATTAGAAAGAGAACTAATTGTGCTACAAAAATCGTCATTAAAGATGCTCTCTCCCTTCTTGTGTAATATAAAAAAACCTAATAGAAAAAAAAAGAAATGACACTGCCCCATGCTAAAGTTGCAAAAACTTTAGAGATGTTTGATTTTGACTTTTTCGCTTTCTCAGACTCTTGTTGGAGAAATAAGTCCGGTACCATATTTGTTGTTCAGACATCGCTTTATCTAACAAAAGATAATTTGATTAAGTCAGATGTCGGGAATATAATCTAACAAAATTAAACATTTTTCTAAAGACTGTTGAATCACTTATTAAATCAGAAACTCTTCAAGGCGCTCCGCCCTGTTCTGTCCTGACCTATCCTGACAGGTTCTGCCCTGAGGGCAGGACAGGGCAAAGAAAAATTCGATGTGCTATTATGAGGGCAGGTCAGGACAGAAAAAAGTGCCCTATGAGGTCTCTGGTGTGGGTGTTGGTGCACTGTAAAAATAGTGCAATATTAAACGGTTGCCCTCTTGGCAATTTTTCATAAACACTAAAAAGATTTATAACGATCTACTATACTCTTGAAGGGTTTATAAAAGCACGAGTATATGGAAATAAAAAGGGTTTATTAGCTTGAAATTCAAGGGAAAAGGTTTACTATTCTATACACTAAGGGTATATTATTCCACGGTTTCAACGGAAGGGTTTATGCCTTTCAAGACCGTGCTACAAGGGTTGTACCACCTATTTATCCAATACGAAAACTTTTTTATCTATACACAAATATTAAATTTTTCTACGCTTCGAGGTCATGGGGGTGCTTAATGTGTCATGTTTTACGTATCTTTTCTTGACGCGGCATATATTCTTCCCAGACATTCACTTTTCGTTCTGTAATTGTGCGATGACGTCATAATTTCGCTTTATTCCTCTAACACGTGATTTTACGAGAAAATTCTCACTATCTATTACTTTTGTTTGTATATATTTAGCTATTTTTCGAAAAGAAGTTTAATTACTGCTATATTTCAATTATCAGTTGTTTTTTCCATTGAAACGTCACAAATGGAACCTTTTGAAAACGATGAATCGGACGATGACTCAAATGATTCATCCACCAGTCAAAACAGTGATGGAAGTGATTTCAGTTTTGATCCTGATGAATTAGCAGATGATCTGGATGAACTTGAAATATTAAGTGAATACTCTACTGGAAATGAAATGGACGTTAATTCTATAAGTCAAAGTCATCTGGGTCAGGGTGGTTTTACGTCAATATCTTCCAACGATGTAACTCCGATTTTAGTGTTCAGGAAATTTTTCACGGAAGAAATTTTTAATCTAATTGTCGATCAAACAAAAATTTACGGGAAGCAAAAGAAACGAAGGAATAGTCGGAATAATATCGATCCCTTGGATGATGTGATAATGAAAGATATTGAATCGTTTCTTGGAATAATCATCGTCATGGGAATCAATAGCTTACCGAGCATGAAGCACTACTGGAGTAATGACAATGTTTTCCATAATAGCTTTATCTCTTCAATTATGTCAAGAAATCGCTTTCTTCAAATCTTTTATAATCTACATCTTGCTGATAATTTGTCGGAGCCAAAAAGCGGATCAGCTGACTGCAGTAAAATTTACAAAATAAAGCACTTTGCTAAAATTTTACTCAGGAACTTCTAGAATAACTATAAGTTTGGTAATTATGGTTCCATCGAGGAAACTATGGTCAATTTCAAAGGTAGATCAAGTCTTAAGTAATACATGCCTTCCAAATCAATTAAAAGAGGCTATAAAATTTTGTGCTTATGCTACTCTATCACCGATTACTTATTCAATTGTAGAATTTACGTCGGGAAAGAAGGAACTAGTGATAGTGTTTTACTTTTGGGCGAACGTGTCGTTTTCGCCCTTACTGCTGATCATCATTTCGAGGGAAAACACTTTTATTTTGGCAACTTCTTTACTTCTCTGTCTTTATTAGAAAAGCTAAGACGACAGAGCATAAGCGCCACGTGAACTATTCGATCTGATCGGGTTGGTATTCCATCACAATTTGCTGTGAAGGAGAAAATGGAATGAGGTGGCTATAAGTCGATTGTCATATCGAATACCATTATCTTCAAATGGATGGATACGAAGCGTGTTTTTCTGGCATCCAATGACTGTAAAAATACTGAAATTATTACCGTCTCTCGACAGTTGAAAAATAAACAACGAATCGAAGTCGATTGTCCGAAAGCAATAGTAGACTACAACAAATTTATACGTGGAGTTGATAAAATCAATCAACGAATATCCTTCAACACTTTTGATCGAAGGTCAAGAAGGAACTGGCTTCGTCTTTTCTTTTTCTTTTTCAATGCATCTTTAGCTAATTCGTATATCTGCTATAACCAATTATATCAGAATAAATCGCCATACTTGGATTATTTGGTTTCCCTGGCTAAGTCTCTATGTTCTGGCGCAAAGCGGAAAAACATTGGACGACCTACCTCAACAAAGGCATATGAATTCTCAGCACCAACATCACAATTTACTGATCAATTGAACAGTGGAGTGCATTTGCCTGTCAAGGGAACTCGAAAAAGATGCGCTAACTGTAGCACAAAAGAAGTGCAAGTTCGATCAACCATTGAATGCTCTAATTGCAAACTGTCCTTTTGTGTAACAGAGGAGAAAAACTGTTTCTATGAGTACCATAAAGATTTTATGTAAAGATTTTAAGTCACGTTAAATAAACTCATGAAAAGAAGAGATTTCTAATAAAAAAAGCTTGTTAGCGCAGCCCCTTTGGGGCTAAAATGTGGAACTCACATATGATTTTTCGCCTAATTTACTTATACATGATGCGTGTGCGAAATTTGCTGCAAGAAAATCGATCGGTAGAAAAAAAATGCCTTATTTAGTTGTTGCATGCTTGCGGACAATCGACTTCGATTCGTTGTTTATTTTTCAACTGTCGAGAGACGGTAATAATTTCAGTATTNGGGGGTGATGTCTGTAATTGGGAGGGGGGGGGAGCCGCAAAAATCTGGCTTTTAAACTTACACTCACCATTTTCTTCGAAAATATATGTGAGTTCCACAAAAAACTCGGTCCTAAAAGGGTTATTATGTTACGTATAGGGGTATATTATCTACGAAATGAAGGCAAAAGGTTCATGACTTTTGCATGAGAATGCAATTTTTTATTTTTAGCACGAATGATACGTTTTTACGCATAAACTAGCATTTTTCAGACGTCGTCTTGTTAATACTAATTTAGAAAGATAATATGTCTGTTATATCTTATACTAATATTTACTGTTCGTTTTAGTCAATTTATCAAAAGTAGAGAGGCGCTCGTAAAAGCTATTCTAAGATTTGGTTATTATGAAAGATTGATCCGATGTTTTTTTAAACTTTTTTACAATATTGGGTGGTCAGTGGAAGGAGTGATATGAGTGTACTGAACATTTTCATAAGCTCTTTCCTAAACCCTTCCGAAAGGTATTTGAGTGTGCTTAACGTTTTCCTAAACCATTTTTATGGGTTTATATAAGGGTTTATGAGAGTTTTCACATACGGTAAAAAGGGTTTATCAATTGCAAAAACAGATCAACCTATTCTTTAACGAAAAGACAAATCAATCTGCTAATCTCAACTGTTGCTTTTTCAGTAATCGATTATTAGCCGAATATAAATTTTAAATTAAATTCTAAATGTGTTTGTATTTCAAAATAATTTTTAAAAATGCAGAGATTAATTTTGCCGATGCGTTTCGTGTTTATTTGTTATTATTGAAATATTGAAACACCCTTCAGGGCTCTCCATTACAAATAAGGCACTATTGCAAAAAGAAGAAGAAGAAGAACAGAAATTAAGATTATTTTTGAAGGAAAAATTTGAGGGTAAGGGTGAGGGTGGGTGAGTTGAATAACCACAATAAATACTTTTAAAATGTTTTGATTTATTTCGATTCTATTTAGGAGAATCATTATCAAGTGGCAATATATATTTATTCTGATCAAAAATCAAAAATAGAATATATAAGACTCAAAGAAATATTCAAAGAAATTCGAAAATTTCAAGAATATCTTAAACTTTCAATAGTGAGTTGAATAACCACAATAAATACTTTTAAAATGTTTTAATTTATTTCGATTCTATTTAGGAGAAGTTGGGTGAGGGTGTGTATTAATCTCAAATTTTTTAAAAGCAAATTCAAAGCTGTATATACGACGCGTTTCGACTATTGCTTAGATAGTCATCATCAGGTATATTGAGAATTTGCAACTACATTGACAATACTGCATATATATCGATAGAATCTTTTTGGAAAACTCAAACTTCCAATTATTTTCAATAAAGGATAGCACAAAGGTTAACATAAAGAAACCCTCCAACATCAAATCCTCCAAAGAATTTTTAATTGATATAGGAGTTAACCAATATGTATATGTTTCTTGCATTAATCGTAGCGTTTATATAATAGGGTGTGTTATAATCTCAACTTTTTCAAGGCGAATCCAAAGCTGTATATACGACGCGTCTCTTTCAACTATGTATTGGTTTAGCTGTAGAGGTGTTCTTTTTAGTTTTAGGTTTTTTCTGCTTTTCACTGTTTGCGTAGCTGCGCTTTCCTTTTTTGTTGTTGTCGGGATGTGTTTCTGTATCCAAGACATCATATAAGTTTCGTTTATATTATAATAAGATATTGAGCAGATGCTTACTTTTCGGTGTAGGTTTATTTATTTATAACATGTTTTAGAAAAAAAATTTAAAAGTATGCACTATTTTTATGTGATGCTCTGTTGCATCTTGGCGTAGTTGAAAACTCTAAGGATAGACGCTGGATTTGTCATTGGTGTTTGGTTGCAATATTCGCTGCGGTGGCTTCTTTTTTACCAGCGAATGGTGTAATGTTCTGTTTGTGGTACCTATCAAGCGAACTTTCACTGATGTTAGTTGGTGGTGATATTCAACAAAATTTTGTTTCCACCAATTGTGAAATTGTTCGGGTAAACCGCTAGTACAGTGAAGTTGTACGGATAACGTGAATACATTATGGATTTATCCCATATCTTTGACTGGAGTACTGTTGGTGCTTCTATGAGATCGATTAGTCGAATATTGAGCTGTTTTTCTCGTCTTGTCGGCTGTCGTAATAACTTTTGATGTAAGTGTTGATAAGTTCTTTCGTTTAAATCGGTCAATACTGATGTAGCTGCATTCAGTTTGAAAAAGTGTTGGAAGCACTTATCGATGCATTTTGGTGGATAACCATTTAACAGCAATGATATCATAATATTATGCTGTTCCACATTGAAATCATTTACATCTGAACATATTTTAGCCGCACGTAATATTGCTGTGCATGGAATATTTCGAAGAATGTGACGAGGATGTTCCGATGTAAATGGTAATATGTACGGTTCAGCTGCAAGCTTATGATAAAGCACTGTTCTTAACCGATTATTCACATTCTGGATTGTTACATCCAAGAAATCGACAGATATACCGATTTGATAATTGATCTTAATATTAACATTTTTATTATTTTCTTTATCCAATATTTGACAAATCTTATGTTCAGGTTCGTTTGTTGTCATAAAGATATCATCGATATATCTAAAATAAATATAATGAATACTTATCAAATGAATGCTTGCTTTTTACTGTAACTAACCTGCCGTAGATTTCATTTTTTGACTTTTGATATTTAATCAAGTCTTGCTCCCATTCATACATATAAATGTTTGCTAAAACTTGGGTAAATGCGGAACCCATAGCACCACCACGTATTTGCTTATAATATTTGTCATAATAAGCAAAATAATTCGTATCCAAAATAAGGCGAGCTATTTTCATGATATGATCAATATATAATGCGCCAATACGATTGTTCTTAGAATGTTTCATACAAAATCCTACTAGTGCTTCTAATGTACCGTGTCTTGGTATCATTGTATATAAATCAGTCACATCCATTGTAACAAATTTAGTTGTTGGACGGAAATGACCATCTTCAACATCTTTTTCTAATTTTCGAATAACATCTATACTATTAATGAATGTTGTCTCTCGAGCAACACTTAAGAATATTGGTGCTAGAATATTATTCAGAAATTTCGACAGTGATATTGTTGGTGCATTCCTACTGGTTACAAGTTTCAGATATATTGACGATATCTTTTTTACATCAAATGACACTTATCAAGCCAAGGACAAAATGTTAGATGAAGCTAACTCCTTCCATCCAAATATAAAATTGGTCCGACAAATAGGAAGACACGCACCTTTTCTGGATTTCTTCATTCAAAAGCAAAAAGGAACCCTAATTACTTCGGTGTATCATAAGTCGACTGCGGAACCATACATCGTGCCATTTAATTCTGATCACCCAAGGCATATTTTTACGAACATAATTCATACTGCTCTATTCCGGGCTGTACGCTACTGCACAACCTTCGAAGACTTCATCAATGAATGTCACACTGTGAAATTGATGTTACTCTACAACGGGTATTACAAAGATACACTTTTTCTCTACTAAAATGTAATCAAGGTATTCTAGATATCCACCAGGATTTATTCATCGCCGATTTAACAGTTTACTCAAAACTTTTTCAAAAAAACAATTCTATCAACTTACTTTATTGAAGGAACCCGATTATGCTCATAGCCGCGACACATTTCTTCAAAGGACCGCGAATAATATTCCGCCTACTGTTTTCAGAAAGGCATCCAAAATAAAGTTCATCACAGAAAAATCAAGTGAAGAGTTCCACAATAACAACGAAATACCTCAGTTAAAAGAACACGTGTCCCAACTAATACTTCATTACAAATACGAATATCGCTTTAGGTATGCTAAAAGACACCTCTATAGACTTTGGAGGCGTATTTTACTGTCAACCAAAGTGATAGATGGGAAACCGATCATAGGTACAGCGATCAATCGAAATCTAAATTCGGAACTCATGCAGAAAATGCAACAACCAATAACAACAACAGAACTAGCGAACCATGATTAATCCAACAGTGATCAAAACTTTTCGACACACCATCGAACTTAAACATACTGATATATTTATAAATACTCTGTAAAGAACATAACTATAAAAAAATTAATGTACAGCCCTAACGTTCAAGCTGTGCCTCACAACAGAATCATGTGGAAGTAACAATTAATCACCCAACCCAAACAGAGAACCGAGCACAACTAGGAACACGAAAATTAAGCAAAAAAAGAGACTATTTCCTAAGATTCTACCAGAATAATCAAAATCCGTCTGATGGGACCCTTGAGCAAGGTCGAAACCGGTCACCATTTGCTTAAAACTCACTCTCTATCTTCCTATGGAACATCACGCAATCGGTACTTCTCTTACTACTACAGCTTGTTTAGGATTATGTTCCTCTACAGGTTCTAGTAGCAATTTGAAGTTGGGTATTACGTTTGTGATCTTCGCGATCCGAATAAATACCTACAAAGTTGAAACCATCTGATGATACCCTTAGGCAAGGTCGAAACCGGTCACGGTTTGCTTAAAACTCATACCCTCACCCTCAGCTCAATAGGATTCAGTATTAAAATGGAATGCAGAATACATTTTATTGAGTACATTTCAGTCACATCTGCTCTTAAAAGAATTGAAATAAGCAGAGGAGCAGATCATCAGTGCATTGTAGATAATATTTTGCATAAAGCAGGGTTTCTGATGAATGTACAGCGTTGATATAGTTTTATTCATAATCAATTAATTAATTAATTTTTAATAGGCGGCTAAGTAGGTATAGTACCAATTTTTGGATAAATACGCTGTTGATATTTCTTTAAGTAATTAATTAGAGCGTCTTTCATCTCTTTATTCATGACAAGATGTACAATAATCAGCAGAGTAATGCTTAATGATATAAAATCTGCTGCTATCAAATATAATGACTCGGGTGGAGGAGCCTGCGGTGCCACCTTCTGCCAAATGACCAGAATTAAATATGGTGTCCCGCCATAACTAAAGAGACCTTGTGCTATGAGCAAGTTTCGAGCAAGTTTCATTTCACGTTTTGCATGAGGCATTAGTCTTGTTCCATTATTTTCGTCCCTATTCATCGTACGCCTTAAGGACATTCTAGCAGTGTGCCAAATAATGAAATAAATTACAAGTGTTAAACTAAGGGGTGTAACATATCCTACTACTATAAGGTACATTGAAGTGGTGAATTGTTTTGTTGTCGGATAACAAAGACGTGATTCTTCTTCATATGAATAACCATATTCGTAGAAAAAAGGTAGAATAGGAGCAAGAGTAGTAAAAAGCCAGTTACCAATTATCAAACACCAATGCACTCGATAGGTTTGCAAAAATTTGCGTTTGAAAAATACAGTGAAAAATAGACGACTTAATGCCTCAACCAGGTGCGCATGATGAGTTCCCGCAGCTGAAATTACAAGAACATAACCTGTAAATGCACATAATGGTTGTTCTCTTGCCCAGTCTTGACGAAAACCATAGATCGCTGTGATACAATCGTAAACAGCGTGTGCAAAAGTGAATGCAGTCATATTTAACAAAACAGTATGGTGGATTGTCCGACATGCCCTATTTTTGATAACGGTAACAACAATTGTTAAGCACACAACTATTGAAAAAAAGCTAATGACCAATTTAAATGAGGAATTACAGGCATAGAAGGTATTGCTTAGCATCCCTAAAAGCAGTAAATAACGATGAAGATGAAGATTTTCAGCTAGATTTATCGCTGTAGAAACATGAAATGAACTAAATTTTAAAAGATTCCTTTGAATTAGGCTACAACACATATACTGCGAGGTTATTTACCTTTCAAAATACCTAAGAATTCTTCTAGTGTTCATCGATCCCCAGATGCACTGTAGAAGACCTCCACTTCAACGAAAAGCTCAAAGGGCGTAGTACACCCTTTCTCCCTTTGATCAAGTAGGTTTTTCCTAGGTTGGAATTGCAGCTACGGAAATTTTGTTCGGGGATGCACTCTTTTAAGGGTTTTCAGTTGGCAATATTTACAAAAAAGAGTTTAAGTATAGGCGAAAACATTATAAATGCCTATTCGAATCATAGAATCTCAAAAGATTAGTCGATCTTCCATCATGTACGTGCATACTTTCACTTTACATCATCAAACAAAAATGCATTTTCTATTTAGGAGACATGGGGTTGGAAAAGTCTTGAGATTGGAATAAGAGTCCTGCGTTCAAGGCAAAATCATAAGGCTCATAAAAGTAGAATAATGAGCACTCACCCAAAGAATATTTTAGATACTTCTTATAAAACGATTTGTTTACGAGAAGCACTAAATGAAAGACAAACAATTATTATATAATATCTCAATGCCATGGATTGGTTAGTTAGCTCCTGTACTCTTGGAATTAAAACTAATACAATAGTACTATGACGTTTTCTTAAAATAGTGATAATTCGAGAATGCTCCTATTTTTATGCTCCACATAAATTTTGTCTGACAAATTACATGGCTTCCAAACTGCTTCTGATATATTTTCTAGTACGAAATAATTTAATTTAATAAAAACGTACAATTTTCTTATGATATCATGTGTTATCATAAGTGTGCCTATTGTTGTCCCAATAAACCCTCACGTTATATGCTCATTAGAAAGATACTAGACTGAAGAAATGATAAGGAAAAATTATTTAAGAGAATATCTTTCGAAAAGTTCGAAAATTACTAAAAATATTTCCACTCTTACCTCTAGAGTCTTCTACGAAAGTATGATGAAAAGAAAAGGATTAGAAAAAGTGAGAAATTCTAGAAAAAAAGTACTAATGCTCACACAGAGAAACGTTAAATATTATGATTATTAGTGATTGAGAAAGATGTGGATTTATCAAGGGGGAAAAAGGTGATTTATGATTTTGTGATTTAAGATGATTTTTTCGATTTAAGGTGATTTTTTGATTTAAAATGATTTAAAGTGATTTAAAATGATTTATTTGATTTAAAGTGATTTATTTGATTTAAAGTGATTTAATTGATTTAATTTTGATTTTTAGCTGAGTTAAATCAGCTTTTCCTCCTTGTCCAGGAGTGTTCTCCAATGCGGAGACACACCTCTCCACATAGATCTTGGCGGGCTCTATCTGGTGATGACCTCGCTGAATTTGTCAGAGCACCCAATGGCCCTCAAAATTACTAATTAGTGGCTTTAATTAATAATATCATGAATTAAACCCATTAGGATTCGCCCAGAAATGCTCTCCAACGATGAAAGATATCTCTCGAGATAGATCCTTATGAGCTCTATCCAATCGGCACCTCACTTATTCAATCTGTCTAAGTCTTTTTTCTGAAAACTGCTAATTATAACCTTCATTGATGCTTTGTTTTTAGTTAAAGCCGTCGTAATTCCCTCATGCGTATTCTCCAATATGGAGATACAGTTCTCCAGGTAGATCTCGACAATTCCTATCCGATGGACACCTTGTGAAACTTGTTAGAGGATATAATGACCCATAAAGTTGCTAATTAGTGCCTAACTACTCTTTTTTCCAATTAAAACCTTCGGGATTGGTGAGGGAATATTCTTCAACGTCGAGATACACTTATCCTGATAGATCTTGACGAGTTCTACACAATGCACATGTTACTGTAGCTACGCCATCGAGTTACCAGGAAAATACAAAAAAGGTTCAAGATTCAAGGTTTTTCTTTCAAATTTTTTGATTTCAATTAGAGTTATTTGTTTCAAAAGAAAAATTGAGAATGTTTCAGGCAGACGAAATTCTATATCATTGAGTGAAAAATACATGAGATGCATTTATTTGCACAGGTAGCCGGATAATTAGTTATTTTCGGTCCCAATTCTAGAAAACGTTGGAGAAAAAATGTTCATTTGTTGTTTTTTGCTTTAATGATCACAAAATACGACAAGAGGCCACACTGATTCCGTTGGCCCAAATTTTTAATTTCACGTACGTGCGATGAGGAGAGGGAAAAGAATTTTTTTGTTTCGTATTATTGTACACACAAAAGAGAAAGAACGAGAAAAATCGTTTACAGCACACTGTAAAAAGAAGGTACCGCACTAAACTTTTAAAGGTTCCGATTTTGGTTACGAAATTGAAACCCTTTGAAATTGTGTACGAACAAACGTTTCATAGGGACCCTTCTCATTATTATGTGAAAAAAGATTTTGTGGTACGGCTTTTCGATTGCGTTCAATACACTGTTACTTCGTTGATGGATCTGTACTGGAAGACACATTCCAATACACGTAAAAGTCTGTTTGATCATCCGAGCTTTACTTACTATCTCATCTATATATTTCTAACTATTTAGCCTTAGAGCTAACGTTATACATGAATCGCTTTCGACATTTCCACAGCTCTGTCTGTCAACTCATACACATCCCTAAAAAATTAAATCTACACTTAATCTCTTAATTTTTATACCTAAACTTTAATATCCATCCTCATCCCCAACCCCTTATTCCTAGATCTACTCCTTAAATACATGCGATGAGAGAGCGAAAGAAAGATGCACGATGATCTAATGAGGGCTTTTTCCATCGGTTCTTTCACGTAAAACAACAAGATATTTGTTTTCTCCTCTGTTCATATATATCGTGTATATATGGCGACAACAGTGTAAACGACCTTTTGGATTGCCGGAACTTCGCCAATAAGATTTTCGCCAATAGGACATTCGACAATGGCGAAAGTCCAGGGGGGTCTGTTGGCAAAAGCACAATAGACCTTTGCTAATCGCGAAAGTCTTATTGTTGAAGTACGGGAATCCCAATTTTTTTCGTTGACTCCTTGCTGCAGAAAATAATATAAAACGAAAATGCTTTTTTTCGCACCTCGTCATGTGTACATGAAGTAAAGGAAAAAAAATTCAGCGATGGAGCGATGCAGTCTCTTTTTGTTTGTTGTGCAGACTAAACAAAAAGAAGGCAAAGTACAATTTTTTTCTCCAAGATTGCTAAGATTGGAACTAAAGATTAGTAATTATCTAAACACCGGTACAAATGAATGTTGCGCATATGTTTTGTAATGGGTGTAATTAAATTCCATATACTTAGAGCGCTTAAAAAATTCATTACAGAAAAACAAACTGATTGAGATCCGAAATATTGAAAGAAACACCTTGAACCTACGACCTTTTTAGCATATTCTTGGCGATACTAAGGTGAGGCTTCAGTGATAATATATGCATTTGATAGAACTTGCCGAGATCTATGAGAAGAAGCATATCTTGGTGTTCAATAGCACTCTTTAGCGAATAGCAAATGGTTCAATTGAAAAAAAAATGAACTAGACACTAATTACCAATTCTATGGGTCAGCAGGTGGACCGACAAACCTCACAAAATGTCCATCAGATAGAGCTCGTCGAGATCTATCTGGAGAGGTGTGTCTCCAGGTTTGAAAGCACCGTGGAGCGAATCGCGACAGGTTTTACAATTTTTTCGGTAAGTTTTGCTGTTCTTTTTGAAGTATTTTCAGTTTTTCGAAGAATGAGAGGGTCCTTTCGAAAAACAAAGGTGTACATCGGATAGAGCTCGTCAAGATCTACTTCAAGAGCATTGTTGCGCGAACCCATTTAGAAAAAAATCGAATCCTGGCATAAGATATCCTACGTTGATTTCATTCGATTTACCGCGATTTTAAGGTGAGTTAAGGTGATTTAGAATGAGTTAAAGTGATTTTTTTGATTTAATTTGATTTTTTTGATTTAAAATGATTTAAAATGATTTAAAGTGATTTAAAGTGATTTAATTTTGATTTTTGGCTGAGTTAAATCAGCTTTTTCCCCCTTGATGCACTGTCATAGTTTTTGAAATTCTACTTATTAGAAAATCAATTGATTTGCGGAGAATCGTTGTGCTAAATGCGACATGATTCTCATCACGATCTTTGAAATTAATTATATTCTTTTGTAAGACACCAATCTGACATCATCCTTAATGATGCAATTATGACAATATCCAAAGGATCATCAAGAAAAATAAAATACTACTGAAGGTAATACATTCTATTACTCTTTCTATACTATCTTTTTGTATTTTAGAAGAACAACCATTATTCATATTGGAGCACCTAATCATAAGACGTTATAAGCACTCGAAAAAATTGCTACTAAATCGTGTGAGTATTTTTATTAATCATATCAATTCTCATCGCTTTATCTTATTATTTTTTATTTTAAGAAGCAATTAATGCCTATCCAATGATACGAATACAAACAGCTAAGATATTAAAAATTATTACGATGAATAAACAAATTTAAGCAATTGCTACTTTAATTGGATCTGACGAAATATTCAGTATAGAATATCCAGAAAAATAACGAACAACATTAGTATCTCTTAATGGTTTATCATTTAAAAACCTATCATTTTAGTTCTCATTAGCTGCAAAACGAATTTTTAATGAGTATAAATCAAACAATCGTGCACTAAAATAATAAATAATTATATATGTAATTGTATGTCATGTAAAATATCTCAAATTTTGTTAATTGTAGTTTAACCTATTTTTGTGTACCTTTTTGAGACCCAGTTAACATGGACTGTTTTACTTTTTTTCTATTTTTGTGGAACTCACATATATTTTCAAAGAAAAGTGTAAGTTTCAAATAGGGCTTTTTTGCGGCTCCCTCCCCCACCCTCCCCATTGCAGATATAAGCAAATAGGTAATGACCTGATTATAGATTTTGCAAATTAAGGTAGATTTTTCATTTGAGTTATTTTAGTAGTCTTCACACTCTTTGTTTTTCATGGGATTATAAGTTTCGTCTATTTTTCCGCATTATAATTCAGATCGCTATTTTTTTATCAGGTTCTAACTAGAAAATCGAATAACTTATTTCTACCTTCTAGAATATCGTATTTCCCTAGTTTACAGTGTGCATGTATTGAATAGAACGTTGAGACCCCGCTGTAGTAATAATCAACATTTACAGCAGATTCATTTATTAGTTACGATAAATAATAGCAACGATAATGATATTAAACTCCAGAAAAATGAATAAGTAAAATAATTATAAAGAGTCAATTGTAACTTGACAGATGAAAGCACGAACGCGAAGTACAAAAAGTGAAGCTTTCTTTTTGAAGTAAACAAGCAAGAATAATAGATTATTATTCTTAACGATTGATTATACTAGAAAAGCAAGCTAGCTAACAAAATAATTTCTACTTAACTTAATTAGCATTGTTACAATGAAATATACATAAGTCTTCCAGTTGAACTTTAGCTCAAATAGCAACTGTAATGATCATCATCATCATCAATATCAACACTACGTCCTAAAACAATATCACCACGACGATAGCAATCAGTGCTCCAAAAATAAATTCATTTGAAAAATTGGCAGCTGTCTGTGATCATACAATATTTTCAGCGAAAGTAACCGAAACACATCAGTTTAGATGAACAAATAAGTAGTTACGTTAAACCAGTACGATTATCAAAACGAAGTATGTTGCTCTCTTCTACAACACTTCATTACTTTCGTATTGTAAAAAATCAAACTGATCTTGAAAAAAATTCGAATAGAAGAGAGTTTCTTCGATAACTGAGAACAACAGTACACCATGAAATAATCAGATGAATTCAGATGTAGACATTACTTCTGTGGAACAGTATATAAAAAATCTATTCACTACTCAGAAAACAAAAAAGGTGTCATAATGAACCATTAAAGGTTCTAGATTTGGGTACCATTTTCAGAACCATTTAAGGTTCAAGCGAAATCTGTTTCTAGCTGAAGCCTTTTCGTATTTCTTCCAAAAATGGTTCTAGAGTAGTAAAATGTAGCCTACCACACTCAATTAGTCCAGTACTCCAGATTAATGATTTATCCAACCCGTTAATTTCATATTTAACCCCTTAATTCTATCCTAAACCACTATTTATATATTTATATCCTTAACCCTAATTTCTATGCTAAACCACTAAATCGTATGTGTTATATGTAGCTGGATTTGTTGTGAGCAGAATACGAGTCAGCCCTTTCTCCTTTATTCACACGAAAGGGGAATCGCCGTTACTTATTGTTGAGACGATCCTAAACGAAAAACAAGAGGTGTGACTGATAGTGTAAGATTGAACTTATCATGAGATCAATTATTCACATATACCTAAATAGAAAAAAACATTAATTCATTTCATATTATTGAACTTGCATTTCAATTGATTATTGCTACATACCTAAATAAAGAACTTATTGAATTCATTCTACCAGATTGACATTACTTTATATTGATAATTGTGATATATGAAAATAGATAAAAGAATAAACGCATGTTATAAGTTATAACTTACTATAGAAGTGATTATTGAGACGCACCTACCCATACCCATCAATCCGACTCGGATCCTCAGACTCGGTATCAATGATGCCGGATTCGGATTCCTGGATCTCGATAACTTATTTCAAACTTCGATCAGAATTGAGATCGGAGTTGAAATAAAATGTCTAGTTTTACAGTCTTCGATTTTTTGATGAAGCCAATTTCTCACCATTGGGAGTTCGGATTGAAAACATGATAACGGCCTCGGAATCCTCGACCTCGGTAACCTATTTGAGATTGTATATATTACTTAAGTCACTTTGCGAAAATATAATATCTTGCTTCAAGTCAGAACCATCTATGGAAAAATGGTTCAGCAATAAAAATAAAGGGTGCAGGACGGAACTTTTTCAAACATCCAGAACTATTGAGGATCTGGTTGGTATGGTTCTTTAAACCAGCTAGAACTCCCGAGCGTTAATTAATAAACAAGTGAAACCTTAAAAGGTTCAGTATCTTGGCTAGAACCATAAATAGTTCCATATGACACCTTTTTTTTTGAGAGTATCGTCGAAGCTCTCGAGAAGTCTGGCATTTATGACTATTATCATATCAAAGAAAATAGTAAATAGTTTATTTGCCTATTTACTAGTAATATAAATGTAAAGTACCACTTTTTCGAGTTGATCTTTATTTGCGAGAAAAAATCTCTTTAGATCGGTAGTGTTTTTAATTGATCAGATGATGTCGATTATTTATGGGTAAAAAAAACGTTCTCTTGAAAAATAGTGAAAGTTTAGTTCGGTAGAGTATCATTTTTCTATCGAAAAGTATTAATGCACGTTCGGTCTCCAGTGTAAGTTTAGATAACACCACACGTATTCAATTTGATACTGGTGCGTTTAACTCGTTATACTTTTTCTGTTCTGTTGGTATACTAATATAAAAAGAAACCATTCTCTGCTATTGGGGAAGCAAAAGCAAAGAAAAGCATATGTCGTTTTCTTTTTTTTTGATGCCACTTGACAGTACGAGTTAAAGTATCTCGAATCGTTATCTGTTTAGAATGATTCAGCACATAGAGTACCCTTGTTGTCAAATTTTTTTATATCATCATATTTTTATCATCAGAACACATTTCAAATTTGTCCGTGGTTATACTACTGACACAATCATTTATATACATTTTTCAACTGTACGTTAGTAACATCTATGCTATCTCTGTTAACATTTGCATATGTGTGAAAGTGTACCGTTCTTGCCATCACCGACTTTTTGGTATGAATAGGTTTTTTGGCATAGCTAATAGGAGTGAGTCTATAACGTAAGTCAGCAACCCATAAGAGATATTACATATCGTTTAGTCTCCCAATTTTTACCGCTTTCATTTGAATCTTAACGATTGGGTCAGTCATTGATGTTTCTATTTAATTTTCAGAGCAAAATAAAAGTTATCTTTTGTATTTTTTCTGACTTCGTTAGTAGATCATGACAAAGAATCGAATAGCTTTAGTTAGATATCATCGATAAGTTTCTGTTTATGTGTTCCTTTTTTAATCTTTTGAATATGTAAAGTGTCTTATATATTTATTTAAAAGTAGCACCTAGAGAACTTGATATCTGCAGAAAAATCAATTTTCGACTTGGATCTGAAACTTTGGTCAAATATAGATGTTATCTGGATTAATTTGGATAAATCATTTACGAACATTTGGTAAACAACTCTCAAAGATGTGAAGCTATCAAAAACTTACTAACAACATCCGAGCTCCTCAGAAGCAATTAAGAAGCCCCGAACCTTGCCAACATAGACACAGATCACTAAGGGCTACAAAATCCGCGAAACTCCTACTAAAGATCGTTCCAAATCCTGAGTACATATTTGCAGAGTCTCATATCAAAGAAAACCTTATCTTTTTGAGAATGAGCTGACACTACCAAATCATTTTCTGAACCGATGCAGTATTCTTGCCTTTATCCTGGGGGTTTCTTTTTGGTTGGCTTCTCAAAAAAAATTCAGAAAATGAGTAGGAACTACTTACAAATATGTTTGGATTTTGCACTAAAATTAGTTAAGCGAGAAAAAGACGGTTTCGTAATTTGTTACTTTTACGTACACAATGGCATCTTTATGCTAGACCTGAAACAACATTTCTATTTCGTCAGTTGAACCAGAGTTAGTACCTGTAATAACAGTGTTTCGTGATATGCCTCTCACGAGAATCTCATCCACGATGAAATTACTCCATTTGTGCTTTACTTGATGATATTATTTTTGATGTACGTTTTATAGATGATGATTGGTGTAGACTTTGCTGAAATTAACAAAACTACAAGATATCAACTACTTTGCAGCGCTGTTGTTCCTCGACCGATTGCTTTTATCAGTACAATTGATAGTAAAACAGGTGAGGGAAATCATTTTATATTCTATTTTTAGTCTTTTCGAGTTCTATGCCAATTTGTAGGTATAAAAAATCTGGCTCCGCTATCATTTTTTAATTGTGTTACGAGTGAACCACCTACGGTTATGTTTTCTTTAACTAGAAAACATGATGGAAGTAAGAAGGACACGTTGGTCAATATTGAAAATGAAAAGGACTTTGTAATTAATCATGTAACACGGGAGATATTCCCACAAGTTTTTGATGCCTCCGCTGAAATGCCAGCAGACGAAGATGAATTCAATGTGGTTGGTTTAACTGCTGTCGCTGGTGTCAAGGTAAAATCACCGAGGGTAAAAGAATCGCCGATTCATATTGAATGTGAACTATATAATACCATGGAAGTCGGAGATGGAAACTATTGAAGTGCAACAATTATTGTAGGAAGAGTACTTTATATGCATATGGATGAATCATTATATAAAAATGGAATATTAAACACATCATCTATTACAACCATTTCAAGGTTGGGCAATATGAGTTATGGTTACGCTGAACAAAAATTCGATATTGAAAGTGACATATGGAATGTATCTAAATGGTAAATTCAGTGGTTCAACCATTGGTCAGGCTATTGAACAATTCGATCTTTTCAGATTTTTCAATGCTATCATCAAATACTGAATTAAATGAGTTATAAAACAAAAGAATCACTTTGTTAACTTCTTCAAATCTATACAATCTTAATTAACGCATCTTTTCAGAACTAGAAAGTCGAAAGACTAAGCTATCTTAAGCTTATTTAATTGCATTTATTAGATATTCTGCAGTTATTTAGTGTTGTATTTCACTATATACTACAGACTTCGTAGGCTGTTTGAAGTTCCTTCTACTTGAATACGGCAAATAATCTTTTTGTAAAATATTATAAAATAATGACTCGTGAACAATGCATTCTTTCACAGGATTTTGTGAAAGATTCGATTTTTCGAGGCCGTCTATCTTCTGATATGACACTATTATAGTTCTTTCAGAAAATTTCGTTTCTTTTCGTTACTTCTGTCGTGAGATACGAATATTCAACTATCCTTTAATGCTATTTACAGTATAATATTTTAAAAAAGACTCGGTCTTTTTTTCTTTAAATAGCCATAATCCAAATCGAGCTTCATAATTCTATAATATTTCATTATTGTTTAGGTTTTATTCTTATATTGAGAGCATAACAGAAATCTTGGCGGCTTCAAAAAAAGACTAGCGCAATCCACAGATAGTGTCACTGGCGTTTCGATATCGTTCAGGAAACTTTGTATTTATATGTATGGATGATTATAAAAGTTGTCTATTTTTCTGTCATATTTTATCATCGCGCGAAAGAACGGGGGACGCTTTGTACATAAAACAGCCCTAAAACAAAACCATTTTTGACAGCACTTTGTAGTGTATCCGATGAGCTAACTTCAAAATCTGCCAAAAGTAAATCTCCTCTACATGTGGTGTATAATACCCGGCTAGTCAGAACCAGGGTCGACTTTAAAAACACCATGATCTCACCATCAACAGAACAGAAAGATCCACACTCTGAAACATATATCACCTTGAAATCATTGGTACATATCGATTTAAATTGTTGGATTGATTATTAAAATAGTAAATTGAAACATGGATGATTCATGGAAATTAACTGATTTTGTTACGATGACAAATTTATTCAATATTAAAACAGAGTTATATTCAATGATACACCGAGACTTGCGAATTAGACTTTATATTTGATGTATTATGATTTGAATTGATGTTGTTGAAAACAAATGAAAATGCAAGAAATATATTTTACGCCAATAGTGAAATACTGAACTTCAAACAGATACCTGAGAGGATGATCTTGTCTAGATCGTGAACAGTAACACTTTCTGGCATAGTGTCGATAGAATGATACGTTTATTGTCGTTTATTATTATAGAATTAAGCATAACATAAAAACAACATTATTTAGAGTTATTTTATACTTTCACACAAGAAGAGAGATAAGAACAATAGCAAAATTTTGAAGGCAAAGTCTAGAGTCAGGATAGAGAGTGCAGGTGGAGGGCGTAAAATAATGATCACGAGGATTATATTAAGGGCAAGAGTGAGGATAAAATGCACATTAGAAGACAAAGAAAGCGCAGGAAACACATAAGTAATGGGGTCAACGAAAAAGACGTGGTACTGAACCAGTGGTCAGCGTCTTGTTCATTAGAGATTCTTTTAGGTACATGAATAACTTTGAAATAAAGAGAAATTATGCTTTTAAAGTCTTTCATTCTATTTCATTTCGTTTTTATTTCTTCGTTTTAGTCGTGGAATGAGATTGTAGGCTCCTTAGATTATATTTACAACGCAATAGAGATCCCAACAATTCAAATTATCTACAAAAATGTAAGGAAAAAATAAAACGAATGTCACTGAACTTGAATGATAACTAATTTTGTTTTTCAACTGAGAGTACTAGACTTCCTATTGAGAACTATGCTGTATAACTTTGAGCCCTGTTTGGTACCGAAAACATAGTGGTTCTCTTGTGCGATATGATCACGAAAAGTCGACCCATATCAGACACTGTTAGATACTTAAATAGAATGGTTACACAGTTCATTAGACAACAAATACATGCTTTTCTTCTTTATGTTCTCTTTTTATCTTTTCATTCTGTTCTTCGTCAAACTACTTTCTTGTATGTAATGATAAATTTCTTCTTAAATCTACGAAGTTATCATGCGTATGCTGAGTTACGCTGCATCTTCTTACGGTTCTCACCAATGATAGAAAGATAAAGCAGAGTTAGTAAAGTAATTTAGAGTTTATTCAAACACTTATACAGACTTTTTCTGTAGAAGGGCAAAGATGAAAGAAAATATACGTGAGAGATGACGAGGAGGCTTTCTAACTATATACTGTACCAGATTTTCACCAGGTTGTTAAATATATATATATAGTTCTTGAGGTGCCAAATGAGCCAGGATTACTCATTCATGTTCAAGTAGTTTTCCTGTTCGAATGATGTCGTGTGTTATGTACATTCATCTCTGTTACAACATCTCAGCTTCAATAAGAGAGACATTACGTGAGGGCTTCTTTAAAGTTTTAGCTATGTCGCTTTTCTCTAAAGAAAATAATTCTTGTTAGAAAATAAGATAATAAATTTTCGTTTTCGAAAATTTTTACACTTATGTGTGTTAGATTAGTCATTTATTTAATAAGCTATTACTTCATTTCATTTTTCATTACTCTCGTACAAGTCCTGCGACTGTGTTTAATTTTATCGACAAAAACATGAATAATAATGATCAAGATGGATACGATGAAACACTTTATAAGTTCGCCGAATACAGAGAGACAAATGTTCGTCAACCTGTTGAACACTACACGATTCATAATTGTATGTTGAAACAATTTCTAGACAAAGATGGTCTTCTGACAGGAAAACGTGTTCTTGATTTGGCATGTGGCCATGGTTACTATACACGTGAATTGAAAGCATTAGGATGCTCTTACATTCTCGGCATTGATGAAAGCCCAACAATGATTGCACTTGCTCGCGATAGTAAATGGCATTGTTCGGAAGATATCGAGTATATGGTTGCCGATGTAAAATCATTACCCCCATTGCAATCATCATTTGATTTAATAACCGCATTCTATCTATTTGACTATGCTCAAACAAGCGACGAACTACTTTCAATGGTACGCTTTATATACGCACAACTTGGCGAATCCAAAACGTTCATTGGTGTTATAGGCAACGTTACAGGTGGCAAAGACATGTTTAACAATAGAAAATATGGTATTACAAGAGAAACAAAATTACCGTTCGATGGTGATTTATTACCGGATAGCACGGAAATCATAGTCACCATGTATGACACTCAAGACATGCCAATGTGTAGCTTTTCGAACTATCATTATTCTCCAACAACATATGAGCAAGTATTCAAAGAAGTTGGCTTTAAAACATTTCAATGGGTACCATACCAGTGCGATCCAAATGATCCTAACGGAACATTTTTTGAAGATTTAATTCACAACGCTCCGTCGATTGGTATAATCGCAACAAAATAATGCTTAAATAACAAAAGAGCAAGTACTATTAGAAAAAAATACTGTGCACATGCATATATGTGCGATAACAAGGTTATTGAATTTCATGTAACCTAAATACTATTGCTATTAGTTCACTGAAAAAATATAGACAAACATGCACTGAACCCAAACAATTTTACTTCGATGAATTAAACTCGGCTGGAACGGTAAAGTTTGAATACGCTTTGAGCTACATAGATCGAGTTCAAGTGAACATAGTAGTGAGCAGTAATCAACAGAAAAAGACGTATTTATGTATTTCTGAAATACAGAGATGCACTTACCTCTCTGAAGCGCATTTGAATAACAAAGGCGACTGATTTTATTGTTCCCATCTCGAAATCAGAAGTGCTCTTTCCAACGAATAGACCATATACTAATGAAGTCACTTGCGATTTGAACAGCCGGTGTAACGTCAACATTTGCTAAAAATCTTCTGGGCACACCTAGAATGAATTATTATTAGTTTGAACCAGAGATACCGAAAAAATCACTTTTCCCAACCCGACGGTTGGCCCTACCGCAGCTGATAGAGCAATGGGTCATTGGGTTGGGCTGACCAGCTCAACCCTACTCGCCGGGTAACCCATTGGGTTAACCCTGGTTATAGTGCATTTCAATTCTCTGTTATATGCGTAAAAATTTCACACTGCTGATAGAAATCTATAGCTATCAATAGAGATCTATTACATTTGTGAATAAAGTCATTTTCTTTTTAGCGAATAAATTCACCAATAAAAATAAACTGCAGAATTATTATTACTCAATTGTATGTAATATAATATAAAACTAATTGCATCTAAAATTTCATTTAAAAATAGTGTTATCAAACAAAATTGTACTTATCGGAAATTGATATCTATACAGTCATTTATTTATCTAATATATTGAAAACAACAGTGATGACTTCCAAAAGTTATAGTTTTTCTAAGTCAATGTAAAACTAAAATAAAAACTAATAGCTCAACAGGACTGACCAGAGGCAGCAAATATTGGGGGTTCGTCTCGGATTTTTCTAATAAGAGTACCAATTTTTTCTAACAGAACGCAAGAAAACCTTTTCGATTATTGGCGCTTGTCACAACCCCCGGTCTGGCGAGCCCTGTAGCTCAGCCAACATGATGTACCAATGTAAAGTTATGATGGAAATCGAAGAATATAGAAGGCAAAACAAGATCTAGTAAAGAAGATAGTGAAATCTACCTCGATAGCAAAAGGACAACGAGAGACATGAAACAGAGAAGAGAAGGGAAGAAGAAAGTAGGAGATTACAAGAAAGAGATATAAAACAGATTATAAGAAGATACAATCCGCTTCTTGTCTGTTACGTTTGACTATGAGATTAAATCAATGATAAATATGGAAAATATTATTCATACTCTATATTGTGTTATAAAGAAATCTGCATAAAAAATCCCTTTTGTGAATGATTTTACATTATGCATTATTCATGGGTTAACCAGAGGGTTGGCCGATTGGATTGGGTTAGGGTTGATCGATGGGTCACCCAACCCGGTGGGTGGCGGTGACGACCCAGCCCATCTGGCATCTCTGGTTTGAATGTCCCATCCGTAAACCAATGTTTACACGTTTTCAAAGTTGAAAGATTCAAGGTCCTAGTAAAAATAATCAAGAAGTTTCCTTTGATTCAGCGAATAACAATGTTCAGTTACTCCTAAAAGAATAGTATCCATCGATGAATTCGTATACCAACGACCTAATTAGTCACCAGAAGCAGGAAAAGTCGTATTCTTTAAATTGATTAATTTACCTTTGCAATCTCGAGCTTTACATAAAAAATTGATTTTCTCATCAGTTTTTTGTTCCAAAGTATCGATTTTACTCCTCCTTCTGAAAATATTAGTAAATGATTGTATTATTACTGAAATAAGTGATTCTCTTCAATTTCAAAATACTATGACAATATTGATTTTTTTGCTTCATGAGATTAACAGAGTTAACAAAATTCACAAGTTTATCCATTAATTGAAACATACTTTTAGTTAAGTCAATTGACAACAAAAACATGGCACGGCTATAATAATTTAAATTACGTGCATGACGAATTGTATGGAACAACAGAAAAAAAATACCTATTCGAATGTATAACAAAACTAAGATATAACTCAAAGTGCTCTTCCGTTCTGGAAATCGTAATTTATGTGCGAATTCTATCAATTGATATTTTTAATTAGATAAATCGCGTTTGATTAAATTATGAAATAATACTGGGTAACAACAGGACCAATGAATAGGTTCTTATTAGCATTGGTTTGAAATTCTGTCTTATCTAGTAACGAGTCCGATATCTACGTTTCACATTCAAAACTGTAGCTAATGGGAGTCATGCCGCTTGTATCGTCAATTCAACGCTAGTCATATTGAGCCATTTTTTCCTTTCTCATTGATGTTTTCTACGAGATTCCACCCATTCCTCTGACCAGGTAGAGGGAACGAGTATTACCGTACTGTGTCTGAATTAACAATAATTCGATAAAATGTAGTGTGATAGCCTGAAGAATAGAGATAAAGATAAATAAGGCAAGCTAACACATTATCTGTTACTAGCTACAAAATTTCGTTCATAAGTCAAATTTACCGGTACTATGCGTTCCTATTACGCTGAGAGAAAATGATTGACTACATAAGATAGTGACTGAATATTAGCAATAATGTCAGGTAATTCTATCGATGGGACTTGATCACGGTTCAAAGCTCATCGTTGTTTAGAAATCTGATATTCGAGAGAGACTACTATGCAAAACTCACACGTGCATAGTGTAGTGTGGTTGAACGTATCCAGATCAGTATATTCATCTATGTTTCAGACATATGGGAAAACATAAACTATCGTTTTATACAAGACGAAATAAAAGCATGTTGAAATATCTTCCCAGAAGATTATATGAGTAGTACTAAAGTGCTTTTCTCTTTGTTCCCTATGGTCAAAAAGATCATGATTTTTTGTAACAATCATTTTCAGAATCATGAGCAAAACCACTACGTTCAATAACCATAATTATTAGAAACTTTAGTGTCAGCGAACATTCTACGATAATGATATATTGTTGTTTCACGTAGATATCTCGTCCTATAGACTTCTTGTTAGTGTGATGTGTCTTTTGAAAGAATTTTGGCCATTATGTATCTGTTCATAATGATATGATATATATACGTATATATATCATCAACATATACGTTACTATTCTGCCTCTGTTTATCTGATCAGTGTAAATTGCTCGATGAAAAGATCATAGAACGAACGTAAAATTGCATGCCTGTCAGCAGTTTAAAATGCCGATATATAGGGATTTTCTCTATTTTTCTTTGACTTCATAGGTCATTTAAAGTAAAACTAGTAGGTAAAATGAGTCAAAATGGACTTGAATATTTTAATTTATACTTGAAGTATCTGAAGAAATTCCAAATTGGTTACTTGTTCACTACTGAAACAGTTTTCACAGAGCTGTTCAAATGTCGTCACTTTAGAATTACAACTGCATTGCATGTACCATTCTGCTATTTAGTACATTTGAAAACATTTTAATGAAAAATCATATTTTTAAGGAATGTTCGATGAGTCCCGTCAAAACTTCATCATACTTTGTGCGCAAAAAACGTCGGATAACTAGGAGAATTGGAGTGTCTCTAACAAGCCATTCGAAGCGTATGGACAGAATTGGTGGATTTGCAGGCATGCAACAAATTGTACGCGTAGAGATCCGAATACTATTCTTGATAAAGTTATACGAAAAAGGATACCTTACTATTCAAAAGAATTTTCTAGACCACAACTATGTGATGCTCGATCAGTATCAGCAATAACAATGATAATTGCATAAAATTAGGGTACCTAGTATGTATTCAGTATATTGACTTTTATTGATTTGGTAATTTATTTGAAATAGCATAGTTCTAGAGAGAAAGACAGATGTTTTTGTATGTGCTTCGGTTGTGTCGCTCAAACGATAAGAAACGCCAACATGATTGACTAACAATTTAACTGCATATTTCCTGCTTATAATCGAGCGTTGAAGCGAAAAATCTTATTAGCCTACATTACAAATGAATTCACAGATATGATTATATCAAAAACAATCTTTAGTTATTCGATACAAGCATGAAACTTTGGTTCATTGCAATATTTGAATATGTATTTTTTATATTATAAAAATTGTTACTTCTGTTTGGCGAAATGTGATCATTCAAATATGTGGGTTAGATCTTTCCTTTGGTGTTAATTTTCTTGTCCGTAGCATTCAAAAAATTTTCTTACATACACATACATCCTCTAAAGCAGTATTTCAAAAGACGTAATTCAAAGTTAATTAAAGAAATCCCGAATCATTGTATTAATTTTCAAAGTGTTTCTAGTAGAATTCAACTTAGATTTAGATTCTATAGATATTTTATTGGTAGAATATTGATGATGATGATGATGATACTCATTTCTACTGAAAAATTGAAAAAAAATGATTAAAAAGTGTTAATAAAAGGAATTTAAATTTTGTTTTTGACAAACAACGTTCAAATTCATTATAAAGCTTCACTTATCATCCAATTAGGATGAATTCTTCACGGCGCTTTTGCATCCATACTTGAAAAGTATTTAAAACACCACCAACAACAAGTACAATTGAGAAATCAGCAGGCGTAATACGCTTTCCAAAGCTGCTCGAAAAGCCAGTCCAATCGTTGAGTTTTCCGACGCAAGCAGCTTCCACAACGCTGGGATTGAAACCTGTAATGCTAATCTTTGGTATTGTATTACCATGTTCGGTGTACCAATAAGTGGCACCCATTTTAGGCGCTGGAATTGGATCAAGTTTATCTAAGCCTAGGTAATGACCAGTCGCCTTATCAGTATACATGACAATGGGAAAGATACCGGCAGCATCTATTGCATTTCCAATCCATACTTGGGTACTTATTGGTTTCATCTGTGGATTTCCCCATTTATTCATGATCACCCATTCACCAGCATAATCCAAGAAACGAGAATCGTAATTATAAACTTCACATTGATAGTTGCAAGTTTTTGACCAGGTGCACGTTTTTGAACTGGAATCATAAAAGAAGAATCCAGTTGCGTTGAAATAATAGTAATTGGTACCTGCAGTAACAATAAGTAGTTGACTCGAATCATCCATGATCCATGTCGAATCTGTAATTAAATTGAATGCTTGAATACCAAAGATACCATATCCATAATTACTTGGTAGTGGATGAGGAAGTTTGTGAGATATATAGTCTTGATTTGGGCACAGCTGACTTGCTATAGTTTTACAGATTTGAAAATACCCAGACGGCTGAATTGCAATACCAGAAGTAAAGGTTATGCGAGCTGTACCAAATGGTGGTTGATTTTCCTGTAACTGGTCTGAAGATGGGAAAGGAACACCCGGTAGAATAACGTCGATAACATATAATTTTTCATCTAAAGCATTGACTTGTAATACTACCAATTGTGTATTTGCTTGAGTTTGACAACCCAATCCTACACCATTGTATCCCATAGGTGGGCATACGTAGTTTAAACTATAATTATTCAGTGTACCCAATACAGTTAATGCACCAATTCTGGCATAATATGTTTGATTTGTATTAGGGTCAATATAGGTCGTATAATTTGTAGTCAAATTGGTGATCTGGTTCCAATCATAGGTCAAACAATTGTCAGACATACTTTCATTAGCACCTAGCTTTACGGTAATTTCAATGCACGACGATGGTATTCTTTGCATGTAAAAGAAACCATCACATTTAACTATAAACATATCAACAAAGTGTATGTATGTGTAGCCATACACGGAATGATCGTCGAACAGACCAAAATTCACTAGACGAACCCTCAGAGAACCTTGAACTACGGATGCGCTGTATTTCGATTCCGTAACCCTCCTAAAATTTCTTTTGTCTATCAACGATTTTTTCGAAAGAAATAAGACAAATTTGATACTAAACGATAAAATCCAATTCATTTCTAAATCGGAAGACTATATCTAACCACCATAAGTTTCTAGTATTACATGCTGGAGCTTATTATGTTGCATTCACGTGATAAGGCCTCTGATAACTCATTAAAGTCGGGAAAAAATGAATGGACTAACCTGTCGTTGTAAGAAAAAATGTCATGATTGCCAGTTTAGTTAACATATTGGGAAAAGGCATCCTTGCTATTTTATTGTAAGACTTTTTCGTGAGATTGAGTTTAATTAGTTTGTCTACAAATCAAAAATAACATGGTATTCATATGAGCATTGAACAGAATACAACTCTACTATTAACCACACAATGATGTAATTAGATATGCGATAGTTACATCTTGACTCAATGAGCTGGTTTTAATTATTATATTCTTCTGAAATGTGCAAAAGGGGCTCAAAGATGAAACCGGTCTATCTGGCTTCTTTTCCTTAATTTATGATACATAGCTATTCTGAACCTCTTGTTTCTAATGATATAGAAATGGTTCAACGATAGAATCTTCCGAATATCAACGACTTATCGATTTCCGGTAAAAATTAGATAGTGCTCCGGGAAATATGAAGGCACAAATATTAAAATATTTTTTCCGGTTTCTTCGTAAGGCAGTTATAATAACAATCTATAAAATATACTTTCCATGATGCTTCAATAAAAAGGCCTCATTTAATGCAATAGTAGCGCATCAGTTAGAAAAAAGATAAGAGGTGTCACTACCTTTTTTGATATAAACCATGCAAATAAAACTGATTACATCATTCTTATGAGAACATTCTTTACAATGTCAAAATGTTTTGTAAGATCAATGATCTCTATTTTACTCGCGGGAGATATATAAAAAGTATCATTTCTACATTAAATTTGAACGAAATAACAACACTTCATAGTCAATATTGAATCCAGTACATAGTTAGGTATCTAAATCTTAATCAAACAATCAAGTAAAAAAGCAACGATACAAACTACAGTTTAATCCGCTACAGGCTAATTCTCTTATAAAAAGCAACATTAATGAAATTTCTGTGTCTTATGTACCACTCAGAATGTAGGAATCCTTGCACGGACGAATGTGTGCTATGATTTTAAGGTTTCTCTGTAATACTCGACAAGATAGTTAATCGAATGGTGGCAATTCAAATATCGATTTTTTTCTCTTTCTTTCTTCCGATAGTCATGTAAATATTTTTGGTCTCGAATAAAAAAAATGCGCCCACTCCGTCGATGATGCTTTTAACTTTTAGTTTATCGATCGCCGACTCTACTTGAAACAACACCCTGAGTCTTCACGTTCGTTTGTATTGCCATAGTATTAAACTGACTTCTGCAAATATGCACAGCATTAATTAGAGTTTGGGCGTAAATAAGTTTATTTGCTATCACGCAATTGCTGTTTGAGGTGCCGGTGTAATGGGTGGGCCATAAAGAATTACCCTCTTAGTATTTTGGAGATTTCTTGCTACAGAATGCGATTAATGAAAATATCTTTTTATCAAAAAAGAAGCGCTTGAATGTAAAATTTTCGTTTTTTTCAATTTTTTTAACAGAACATTTTATTTCATTTATCAGTGTTTCTTTTGTTGTTATCTTGTGCCAATCCATAGATTCAGCTAGTTCATTCCATAAACTGTAGTCTAGTGGACATAAATCAGGTGAATTTGGCGGTCAACGATCTTTTGATATGAAGGTAGAAAAATGATCAGCACACCATTTTTGAACCATTTTATGGATGTGGGGCTCTGCACCATCTTGTTGGTAAGTCCAATCGTCTCTCAACATTCGATTACCTGACCTTAGAGCAATGTGAAGCACTTCGTTGATATATCTTTCAGCATTCACGGTTGCATGCTCTATGATTACAGGTTCGGTGAGACCTTGTGCACATACACCGAGCCACACCATAACTTTTGTTGGAAATTTTGTTTTTTGGTGTATACCCAGGTCGTGGACGTACGGCGGGAAACGGCCGGAAAGCACAGGAAAGCNAACTGGAATACTGCTTCCAGTTTCCAGTGCTTTCCCGTGCTTTCCGGCCAGATACGGTGATTTTTCCGCATCTTTCCGGCCGGTTCCTACAGTATCCGTCCTCCGGAATCATTGACCTGGGTAGCACCTTGTCTATCAGCCTCTGCTCTACTGATCGCCCACACACGGTCATTCTGAACATTATATACACCGTCTAAATCAAAATATTTTTCATCAGAAAAAAGCCCTCTTTCGGTGTCGTTTTTGGTGTAATGATTTAAAACCCAGTTTGCAAATTTAACCCTCTTCTTTTTTTGAAGGCCAGTGAGCCTTGGTTCTTTGATTTTCTTGTATGGAAAACAGCCAAGATCCTCATGGAGAATTCACCGGGCACTGTCGCGTGAAATGTTTATCTCAGCAGCTAACCGTCTTGATGAAATCTGTTTCTTCTGAGAAAGACGGTATTTAACTTTTGAGATATTTTATTTTGTTCGTACTGCGCATGGACGACCAGGGGAATGAGACAGATCGATAGAGCCTGTTTGGTTGACATTTTAACTCATAACTTAATTGTTCTTAATGAAACAACTCCGGCTAAATCTCGGTAAATTTTCGTTGGATTATCACCATTTTCATATTTATTTTTTACGGCTAGTTGAAGATCTTTACTTTTCATTTTCGTTCCCGGCGTTCGAAATGATTTTCAAATCCAATCATATATATTCTGATAGAGAATTTCAAGCGCCATCTTATGATAGTAAAATATATTTTACCATACGAATAAAGGAGGACATTTATGAAAAATACTAAGAGGGCAATTCTTTATGGCCCACCCGTTACATGTTAAATTTTTCATAAATTTGATTGTATTAGAAAGGATGCGGACACTTTGTAGACGAAATAACCCTAAAACAAATTCACTTCGAAAATTGTTTTCACGCTGTCCCATATGAAAATGCATTCTACTAGACTCATCCAGGCAATTTTTAACAGTACTTTGTAATGTATCCAATGAATCAACTTCAAAATTTGGCAACGGTAGATTTCTCCTACGAACATGCTGTATACGACACTCGACTGATAACAATGAAGATTAACTATAAAATGACTTATTCTCACTGCCGATGGAACTTTTCAATTGCTTCAAAGTAGGGGTGGGCCATTAACATTAATATTAATGTCAACGTTCTTGAATGACATTAACGGTTAACGGAAACATTCACCATTAGTATGAATAGTAATGTTTTCATTAAAACATTAATTTTTCCTTATTACTGAATTAGGGTTTTTCTAAGGAAACATTATATACAATTATTAATCAATTAACTGGTCTTAATAGCTAATATTTTCTCCAGAAGTGTTAGTTACTTAATATGGAAAGTTAATGCTGTCATGATAACATTAACCATTAATATTAAGTCAATAATTTTAATGAAAACATTAATATTAATGAATTAAGTTTTTTTTCAGAAAACATTAACCATTAAGATTAATGGATAATGGAAGTCATTAATTAAGTTCCGTTAAAAAAATGGTCCACCCCTACTTCAAAGCGCTACAACGAAGATGTTGTTCAATGTATCATACGTGGACAAAACTACCAGAATTTCGTGGTGTGCTGACAACGATCGACAAGTGCCATGAGACAACAACTACATCTACTGGCAATACTCACGGTGAAGCTCTATCCGTAACCAATTACCTTCTTTTATCCTTGTTTCTCTTCCAATTGACTTTTTCATGAACTTTTAAAAGGGTGGTCTATAGACAACTTCGAGGGCAAAATATTTTCGTCCATGTTTTCTTACACGTTTGTACCTCTCAAAAGGCGCTATCGGTGGTGAGAACATGGTACTTGTATAATTGATCCTGGTTGTGATCTACCGGATGTTAGATAGAACTGTCTGAAAACGATTTTCAAAGTGATTTTGTTTCAGGACCGTTTTGTGTGCAAAATATCTCCCGTTCTTTGACTTAAAAAGGCTATAGAATTTTCAAAGTTTTATTACTCGTTATACGAATTTCGAATATAAACATCTTTACGATAAATAGTCACAATGATACAATGTTATAAAACTCAGGCTGAAAAATTAAAGTCGCAACAATATTTATGGATTCAATTTTGACAGAATTGTTTTTTTCGTTTGATAAAATTTCATCAGTCTGGGGTAATGATGCGTAAAATTCGCTTGTCACTTCAATATGAATGTGTATTGAGTCCGTTAGTTTTCACCTATTGGGAATTTAAAAATATCAAACACATTCAAAAAAAATGTACAGCTATCAATAAGAGACTACAGAGCTCGCGTAAGTGGGATCTTCGAAGTCTATTATAACTGAAACACTGGATAGAAATATCAAAATTCCTCAAGGGGAAACGCAAGGAGGAACAGCGCACTTGAAATGCATTAGTCTTCATGAACTCCTTGCGCACAGATCAAACGTAGAACAAAGCACTAAAAAGTAGCTTCACGTTAATTGGAGCATTTTCAAATTATGTAAGAGTTCGTTGGATAGAATCCAAATATTTTTCTATGCTCTCAAAGATGAAAAAACGTACAGAATCAAATGAAACTATGCTGTGAAAATGATCAGTTGAGTATTTCGTTACATTGTTGACTAGCAATCGGCAGTCTGATTATTTGTGAAGATGCTTATTGTTTTCATTTAATTTCAGTTTCCAATATGAACGTTTTGAAGCTGGGCTTCGTTATCAAATGTTTTGATACAAAAGAACAAAAATAAGCTTTGATAGTATCCGAGAAAAATATTCGAATTAAGAGATGTTGCAATGTAATTTCATCAAAATGTTACTGATAATTGGATCATTTCTATTAGTTTGGTAATGAGCACTTTCGAAAAAATTTTTCTACAATACTTCTCTTATTCATTGGGTAGGTAAACACAAGATTATACTTCATCATTCTTCAGCAACTGTGAAGAATTATTTGTCAGGATCTATCAATAGTTAAGGATAAATCTCATAAGCTCCGTAATAAATATAATGTGTGCGTTAAAATATCATCAAAAAATTGAATCCCAGAAAGCAAGTTCTGTCAGTTCTACTAACTAATAATCTGATTTTATATTCTTCTTCTTGTGTCAGAAACAATAAATAACTAGATGGTATTCGAGTTCCACTCGACTACGAAATGCGGTGCGAAGCACACGAGTCGAATATTCAAAAG